TGACATCCTTTTGCATATCACTCTTATCCTTTGGCATTTTAAAATCCATTTTCAGATCCACAACACCTTTGTTCATACCATCTTCATAATCCAGCATTTTTTTGAACTCCAAATCCACATTCAAATCAATCTCTACCTCCATTTCAGAATTAACCATCTTATCCAATCTTTCCTCTATCTTCTTTTCAAGGGACTTGAATTTAGCTTATAAAAGTTGCTTATGGTGAAAGGGGAAGATTTATTTGTTAGAAGTTTAATCTTCTTTTCAAGGGACTTGAATTTAGCTCCTAATTCATCAGACATTGATTGGAGTAAACTTAAAGAAGTAATTTTATCTTCTAGTAGCTGCTCTAAAGGGCCTCTTCTAGCCATTTTTTTCTTCCCCCCCCCCCCAAAGCAAGCAACTGTAGGTATTGTATAAGTGAAAGTAAGCAGACAGTTCATGCCCTCTGGTACCTTTCATGATGTAATTGCACACATGTGCCATGCCAACAGGGAATACACAAAAAGCTCAAATTACTGTTTTCTTCTGTTTTGAAAATCCAACCAACTGACAAGCATATCACAGAAAAACAAAAAGTTTTCCCATAGAAAAATCAAATCCAATTAATACAGATGGAGTTTTGTAAAATTAAACTTCTAACAAATAAATCTTCCCCTTTCACCATAAGCAACTTTTATATCTTTTTTGTATTCTCTTTATCTTCCAGCTTTTTGTGAGTTGTTCAAATTACAATAAAACTCTAATCCTTCTTTTAAAATTATAGTCCCAGAAATAATGAAAAAACTCCAAGAGAATTATTTATCTGTTGCAAAGGAAGGTCTCTCTTATGTTGAAAAATAGTTAAATTCCAAGGTGAGTTAGAAATGGGGTTTGGCTGGCTTTAGTGTCCATATTTAGGCTGCACCACAGCTGCGAATGAAGATGGATCCCCCCCGCTTTCCAGCTGCTTGTTGCAAGTCATTTGCAGAAGCTTCTGTTTCTGTGATTAGTTTATGAGGAATGGCCATCCTGGGACTGAACTGGTTGATTTCTCGCTTCCTCCTTGACCTGGAGCAAGTTGGACGGCCAGCACCTGCTGCCAGCCACCAGTCCAGCTGTGGTGCCATCTCCCCTCTCATGGAGAGAGGACTAAGCTGCCATTGTCCCCTCTGGAACAATAAACAGTATCAATATTCATATACTGCTTGTGTATTAATGATCCTGTTTCAATTTTATTGTTTAATAAGTATTAATGAAATTGTTATATAAGCAGCCAAGATGTAAGAAGAAATAAAGAATTGGCTAGAGATGATATCATTGGTGTTAGTGTATTTATTTCAACACGCAATATATACTGTATAGTGTGCCCTGTAGAGAAGATAGATTTCTTCTGACTCTTACTGAAGTATTTAACATATGCATAAACATAGCTCTCCTATGCAACAAAAAGGGTTAAACCTAATGCATTTGAGTCAAATCTGGATGCCAAAGTAGAACAGGGTAATACGGAATAGATTTTCATTTCTCTGTTGATGATGAGACAGGTCTATACCCATTCTATTCTGAGCCTCCAAGAAGATGTGGGTCTGATGCATTTATTTAAAGAACACCAACATTCTGTGGAGAACATCATCATCACCATCAAAACAATTTAGCCAGCTATGAAAACCACCATGATGGATCATTTATTGCAATAATCCACCAGTAGTTGGCCCATCACAGTGTTTTGGGGAATAGAGAAATTGTAGGGATAGTGTTTCTTAGTTTTAGCATTCACTTTATGACTTGGCTGTGCATCATTGTCATCCAGTCACTTACCCTTAGTGGTTGTCTGACAGGCTTTTTTGAGTTGCGTAAGGTAGCTGATAAGGTCTAATTTATTTTAAAGAAATAAAAGATTTATTTCAAAGAAAAAAAAAGTATTATTTGTGCTGGAAACACATGACAATTAGTGTAGTACATTCAGGAAAAAGGGTCATCATTCTGTATGAAAACCCCTTTGCTTTAAACACATCTATCTGAAATGTGGTATGTTTGTTACAGACTATTATCACAGCCACATTATGTCATAATGTGTACAAAGTTAGTTAGATATTAAAGGAATATAGCTTAAAAGCCCATACTGATTTATATGTATTTTGACACACTTCTTTCCTGTATAAAACTTGAGTTTTTCTGCAGATTTCAGTCTGTCTTATGAAATACCAAAGATATATCTTTCAATGGCACCAGTACAATATAATAAGAGAGAAATGGGTGATGGAGAACACAGATGCAAAGTATCTGACTATCCAACATTTTCCAGAGAAGTGTTCAATGCCAGAGACTGCTGGGTCTCACAGAATCTACCAGGTTCCCCTCCCCACACACGCACCTTATGTCCCTGTCCTAGAAGAGAACTTGTAAAGAGCATTGAACCCTGGAACAATCCTATGGTATAGTCCCTTCATTATCTCTCTGACAAAGCACTATGTTTGGGGATCCTTGGCAAAATGATCAACCAAAGCTAGAATTATCAGTCACAGACCTACATTTTTCATCTTCCCACCCTAACATTTTCCTTATATAGTAATGGACAGTTTGGGAAGAAATACCTCAAATATATCAATTTTCTCACATATATTACCTACCTTTTGCTGTTCTTGACATCTATGAATCACCAATGAAGCTTTGGGAATCAGGATTTCTCTTCTGCATCAAAGGAGCTCCTGAATCTTTTCCAGTCAGCACAATTTAGTTTTAGATCTAGCTGAATCTCGCACATACTCCTAGTTGCCAGTCCTAATATAGTCTTCTTCCTGATGTCCTCTTGATGCTTTGCTTTACCAGATACATTTTTAAATAAATGAATACAGAGTAAGATATAGTGCACATTTAAACTTGTTCCATAACCGACATTGCTTTTCTGGGGAACAATAGTTCTTGTAATTAATGTGAGAGACCTATAACAAAAATCTACACTCTGCTATCCAGCTTCATTGCTCAAAATTCTTTGGCAGGTGGGGAGGAGAGCTTTAATAATTTTAGTTTTAAATATGCCACTGACATAAAATACATCTCTCAACAATTTTCACTTTTTCTTCCTCCAGTACTATACCACCATAAACCAGTATTCTCTCACTCTCTCCCCCAGGACATTTCTCATATTTATCCTTGAGGCAATGAAGCAATAATGGATCCAAATTGTTTCTAAATTATAATAAGATTAAAAATGGAAGTGCTAGTTTGATGTACTGAAGCTCAGTTATTCATCTAAAAACTTTATAAATTTGTTCTTATTGTAGTTGATCTTTTTTATTTTAACTTACAAAATTAGATCTCATTGACAATGTAACAATGAGAACATTTTTTGTTTACTTTCACACAACTGAAAATAACTTAAAGTATAGGTTCTATATTTATTAATTTCTGATGATAACCAAACATATGGCTTTTTTTTTTAAGTGCTTTAATTTTAAAGGGCATGGAAACCAACATCATGAGGGACTGAAATACTGATCTAAAATTTGTCTGAAAATATTCAGGATCAGTAAAATGATTTATTAGTTGACCTGACCTGTGGGAACAAGACAATTGTCTGTGGAAAAAAAGAGAATAGGTGCCAGTAGGTGCTACATGTGCTTCCTAAATGCTATTGCTTTTTGTGCTCTCCTCTTCTTCTTGATCTCCATCTGATCATGCAGTGAATAGAATGGTGGCCAATAACTGCATCTTAGCTTCTCTGCAGAAGCTAGAACAATAGCAGTATTCAGGCTTCTAATATGCAATCCCTCTAGTTGCTGTTGCTGAGATGAATCATGCAGTTGTGTGCATGAACAGCCTCTTTTGTAAATTCAGTATAAAAGAATTATCCAGGTCACTCTTTTGGTTTATTATTTGTATTTCCCTTTTGATTTCTAAAACATCAAACCATTTCTTTTGTATGCCCAGTGAGACATCCTTTTCCATATCATTCTCATAACCTGTCATTTGTAGATCCATTTTTTATGCCATCTCTGTCTTGTCAAATAAAACTTGTTCCTTGTCAGCCATTTCTTCCATAACATCTTTTGGACCCAGTCTATCCATAGAAGTGAATGTTACTAACTTCTGATTCCATTTTTCAAAAGCGTCCTGCAATATTTTCAATGTTAAAATGTTTTGTGTCATTTTATACATCCCAGTTAATTAGCTGTTAATCAGGCTTGTGTATTTTTCTCCTTTAACTAAAATATTTAGTTCCCTCTAGTGTCCAATTTTTAAAATTGTTTATCTTTATTTTGTCTTGCAAAAGCCCAAACAAATTTATTTCCCTCAGGAAGGATTCTTTATAATAAATTCCAAAATCTTATTCCAAATGTATCTGGACCCTTAATCTATTTGTAACTTTCTAGGATCAAAGTCTTATTTAGCTTTTTGCTGTTTATTTCATTTTTTTAAAAGAATTCTTAAACTTATGGTTAATTTTTTTTCATTAAAGATTGAAGGAAAAGTCACCTGGCATTTTCAGACTTGTCAGTCCAAAGGTCTCTAGTAGCTTAAAAGCAGTTAACAAGCAATTTCTGAACATGATTAGAAAAAGAAGTTTACGAACTTAATGTCCTTTAAAAGGTGCTGACTGTGGTTGCGAGCAAGATGGCTATTCCCGTTGACTATTGATGCTCCAAACCTTCTGGGGACCGCTGTCTTGCAGTCTCCTGGTGAGGAACAACAGTTCAGAACACATGTGGGCAATCTCTAGTCCTCTCCTTGTCCAGAGAGATTTCAAAGAACCAGTCTACTCACCGTCTCTTCGTTCTTCGCCATGGTGTTGGCTCTGCTTTTCACAGAGCCATCAGTCCGACATCACTGAAAACAAAAGAGGAAACAGTGATGATGTCAAACTGGTGCTATGGGAGTTGTTCTTGTAAGATAATGCAGTCAAAAACTCACAGCTCCTGTATGCCTAGATAGACACATGGAAGGAGGCGGAGACTCTGTGAGGTCACTTCCGTTTCCTCTTTCACCATGCTCTCAAGGTGAAAGCACATGTCTGAGCTATTCAGCTCAGCTATTCAGCTCAGAGACTAATTATGGCCTAATTTTGTAATTTACTTAATACTTTAAATTTTAAACGTTTTAACGTTTAATTGTTGCTACTGTAACTGCTGTTCCTGAAGAAAAACTACTTCATGTGAGTAAATGTTAATTTTGTCTTATTTCACAAGA